CCATGCGAACGCAGCCACTGGGGCCTTCGGTGGAGCTCCCTATGGGGCCACGATCCTCGTGAGGGGTGTGCCGAAATGGCCCGAGGCCGCCATGCGAACGCAGCCACTGGGGCCTTCGGTGGAGCTCCCTATGGGCCACGATCCTCGTGAGGGGTGTGCCGAAATGGCCCGAGGCCGCCATGCGAACGCAGCCACTGGGGCCTTCGGTGGAGCTCCCTATGGGGCCACGATCCTCGAGTGTGCCGAAATGGCCCGAGGCCGCCATGCGAACGCAGCCACTGGGGCCTTCGGTGGAGCTCCCTATGGGCTCGATCCTGAGAGGGTGTGCCGAAATGGCCCGAGGCCGCCATGCGAACGCAGCCACTGGGGCCTTCGGTGGAGCTCCCTATGGGGCCACGATCCTCGTGAGGGGTGTGCCGAAATGGCCCGAGGCCGCCATGCGAACGCAGCCACTGGGGGCCTTCGGTGGAGCCCCCTATGGGGCCACGAAGCGCTGTACTGGGTGGGTAAAACGCAAGGAAGAGGGGGAGGAGGGAGGAGGAGGGGGAGGAGGAGGAGGAGAGGAGGGGAGACGCGGGCCACCGTCTCTTCAAAACGAGGACCCAACACCACAGGATGGTTGGGAACAAATGTCAAAACATCTTCAACCGCGCCAGAGCCCCATTCCTGGGACTCCACCGCCGCGAATCAAGCTTACTGCTGCGACCTGAAGACCCTAAATCGCACCAGTACGCCATGTTTGGGACGTCAACCCCGCAAATCGACGTGACTGTCGTGCCCTGAAGATCCGAACCTGTGCCAAAACACCATTTGGGGCATCTACCATAATAGTCCTTGAAACTGCTGTAAACTGTAATCACTCCGACTGTAGGACCCCGCACGAGACTATGTTTAGCTTGCCTGAGGATATTCTCCTGCCCCCTCGCTTCTCCCACCTACTCCTGCCTCCTCCTTTTCCTCCTGCCTCAACCCCCGCCTCCTCCTCTTGCCTCCTCCACCACCACCACCACCACCACCTCCTCCTCCTCCTCCTCCTCCTTTTCCTCCTCCTCGTAATGCCTCCTCCCCCCATTCCTGATGCTCCTCTTGCCTCCTGCGTCCTCCTCCTCCTGCTGCTGTCCTTCTCCCTCCTCCTCCTCCCCCTCCTCCTCATCCTCCTCCTCCGCCTTCCCTCCCCATCATCCTCTTCTCCCTCTCCCCTCCTCCTCGTCCTCGTCTCCATCTTCCCCCCCCCCTCCTCCTCCGCCCCCCCCTCCTCCTGCGACCTCCTTAGGCTTCTTGCCTCCTCCTGGGGACTCTTGGGGACTCTTGGGGCCTCCTGGAGCCTTCTAGGCCTCCCGGGACATCCTGGGGCCTCCCAGGGCACTCCTCTTCCTGCATGTCCTCCTCGTCCTTCTCGCCCTCTGCTTCCTCCTTCTCCTCCTCCTCCTCCTCCTCCTCCTCCTCCTCCTGCTTCTCTTTCTCGTCCTGCATCCTCCTTCGTCCTCCTTCTTCCTCCTCGTGCGGAACACGACCCAAAGGAAACTCACGACGTGCGTCCTGGCGGATACGCGCCGGAGGACGACCCAAAGCAAACGCGCGCCGGAGGACGACCCAGAGGAAACACGAGAGGTGCGTGTCCCGTAAGGACGGGGGCTCCTGCCTGAGCCTTCCTCACAGTTCACTCACAGTCGAGGCTCCCGCCTGATACTTCCCCATATTCAGGCCTCAGGAGCCCAAAAGTGACGACAGTTACAGGTTCGAGGATGACCCGCTCGGATTGCCAACATGAAGTGCGGGCCCCATAGGGAGGGGGTTCCTGCCGGAGACTTCCCCACAGTTCACTCACAGACGAGGATCCCGCCTGATACTTCCCCTATATTCAGGCCTCAAGAACTTAAAAGTGACGATAGTTACAAGTTCGAAGATGGCTCCCTCGAATTACCAACCTGATATCTGGGACCCACAGGGAGGGGGCTCCCGCCTGAGCCTTCCTCACAGTTCACTCACAGTCGAGGTTCCCGCCTGATACTTCCCCCATATTCAGGCCTCAGGAACCCAAAAGAGACGACAGTTACAAGCGGGCCCCATAAGGAGGGGGGCTCCCGCCTGAGCCTTCCTCGCAATTCACTCACAAACGAAGCTCCCGCCTGATACTTCCCCCATATTCAAGCCTCAGGAGCTCAAAAGTGACGACGGTTACAAGATCTGGATGACCCGCTCGGATAAATAACACAATCTGCGGGCTCTATAAAGAGGATGCTCCTGTTTGAGACTTCCTCGCAGTTCACTCACAGACGAGGCTCCCGCCTGAGACTTCCCCATATTCAAGCCTCAGGAACCCAAAAGTGGTGACAGTTACACGATCTGGATGACCCGCTCGGATTACCAACATGATCTGCGGGCCCCGTAAGGAGGGGGGCTCCCGCCTGAGACTTCCTCGCAGTTCACTCACAGACGAGGCTCCCGCCTGATACTTCCCCCGTACGCAGGCCTCAGGAGCCCAAAAGTGATGACGGTTACAGGATCTGGATGACCCGCTCGGATTACCAACATGGATCTGCGGGCCCCACAGGGACGGGGACTTTCGCCTGAGACTTCCTCGCAATTCACTCACAGACGAGGTTCCCGCCTGATACTTTCTCCATTTTCAAGCCTCGGGAGCCCAAAAATACGACAGGTACAGGGTCTGGATGACCCGCTCGGATTACCAACATGATCTGCGGGCCCCGTAAGGAGGGGGCTCCCGCCTGAGACTTCCCCACAATTCACTCACAGACGAGGCTCCCGCCTGATACTTCCCCTATATTCAGAACTCAGGAGCCCAAAAATGACGACGCTTACAAGATCTACTTGACCCGCTCAGACTAGAAAACATAATCTGCGAACCCCACAGGGACGGGGGTTCCCGCCTGAGACTTCCTCGCAAATCACTCACAGACGAGGCTCCCGCCTGATAATTCCCCCATATTCAAACTCAGGAACCCAAACATGACGACAGTTACATGATCTGGATGACCCACTCGGATGAATAACAAGATCTGCGGGCCCCACAGGGACGGGGGCTCCCGCCTGAGACTCGCAATTCACTCACAGACGAGGCTCCCGCCTGATACTTCCTCAAGTGTGGGTGTGTGAGTGAGTGAGTGAGTGCGTGAGTGAGTGAGTGAGTGAATGAGCGAATGATGATTATGATGATGACGATGATGATGATGATGATGATGATGATGATGATGATGATGATGATGATGAGTGAGTGAGTGAGTGAGTGAGTGAGTGAGTGAGTGAGTGAGTGAGTGAGTGAGTGAGTGAGTGAGTGAGTGAGTGAGTGAGTGAGAGTGTGAATGAGATGCTGGGTGATGAGGAGGAAAGGGAAGGGGTGAGAGGTGAGACTTCCTGCGCGGGGTTTCCAGAGAAAACAAGAACCCCACTTTGGATGTGGGGGAAAAATACATGCGCGCGGCGCTAAGGCGAGATCCACATTTTGAAATGGAGGCGCCCTCCATCCGTGAGGTTCTTGCAAAACTTAAGAAAGTATGCGCGGCGCTGGGGCGAGAAACACACTTTGGAAACCACACGCACTCCATCCGTGAAGCTCTTGCATACGTTTAAACGAATGTGCGCGGCGCTAAAACGAGAACCACACTTTGAAAACCACCCGCCCTCCATCCTTGAATCTGTTGCAAATTTCAAACTTCAGGCTCAGAGATGGCGGGGAGGTCTCAAGCGAAACGTCCGGCCACCTTACCGACCCGTCTCCAGGTGCGACAGGGAGGAGCCAAGAAGGAAGAAGGATCGAGGAGGAGGAGCAGGAAGGAGGGAGTGGTTTGAACGAGGGGAGAACGGCGTGCGGCCCCCGACCTCTTCGTTTGGTGTTTGCCGCAATTTGCTAAATGGCCATCCCCATGTCCTCCTCCTCTTCCTCCTCCTCCTCCTCCTCCTTCTCCTCCTCCTCCATTGCCTGCTCCTCCTCCTCCATCCTGCTCCCCCTCTTCGACCCGCTCCGCTCCCTCTCCCATGTCGCACTCGTCCCACCTCTTCCTCCTCCTCCACCGCCACCCGGGATGAGGTTGAAGAGGGGGGAGGGGGAGTGGAGAAGGAGGGGCCAGGGGGAGCGGAGACTGTGAGGGAGAAGGAAGGGAGGAAGTCGCAATCGAGAGGGGGTGAAGCGAGGAGAGGAGGGAGCGGGAAGGCCGAGGGGAGAGAAGGGCGGGGGAGAGGAGTCGGAGGGCGGGTGGGGGAGACCGAGGAGGGGGGGGGACAGGGTGGAGGAGGGCGAAGGTGAAGCTGGAAGCAACTGCGGGAGGTAGGGAGGAGGTTGAAAAGGGAAGGGCGAGGGCGATGGGAGGGCGAGGGGAGGTGCGCAGCGCAGGCTCCTCCTCCTCCTCCTCCTCCTCCTCCTCCCTGCCTCCTCCTCCTCCTCCTCCTCTCTCCTCCCTCCTCCTCGCCCTCCTCCTCCTCCTGCCCTCCTCCTCCTCCTCCTCCTCCCCTCCCTGCCTCCTCCTCCTCCTCCTCCTCCTCCTCCTCCTCCTCCTCCTCCTCCTCCTCAAAGAGGGATGAGGGGGAGGGAACAAGACAAAACCAGGACGAGGATAGAATCGGGTGAGGAAGAAGTCGGTAACCTCTGAGATCCGGCGACTCTCGAGGATGCCTCGGGCACCGCGGCCTTCCCGGAGCGTTCCGGAAGGCTCTGAAAGCGTTCCGGCACGCCCTGGAACGGAGCTATCCTAGTCCTAGCCTCATGGGGAGCGAGAGGGGGATGGGAGGGTGAGGAAAGGCGGGCAGCGCAGGCGAAGAGGGGCAAGGAGGGAGGGGGAGGAGGGTGGGAAAGGCCAAAGGGAAAGGGGGAGTGGCCGGGTGTCCTCTATCTCTCTTTCTCTCTCTCTCTCTCTCTCTTTCCTCTCTCCGGCTTCCCCCTCCCTCGTGCCACTCCCCTCTGCCTCCTTGCACCTCCCTGCCACGACCGCAGGAGGGGTCGGGTTGAGGGTGAACGGAAAGAGCAGGGGCTCGGCACGAAGGGCCTCGACTCCACGTAGGCGACAGTGACCTGTTGGATGTAGGTCTCGAGCTGTTTCGGCGCCTTGTCCTGGAGCAGGATCACGGGGCTGACCATGGAGGCCCAGAAGCTGAGCAAATAGTGCTTGGAGTTCGGCATCCGCTCCCAGTTCCTGAGGCTGTCCATGGTGAAGCTGTAGACCTGCTCGATCCAGATCTGGAAGTCCGCGGATGCGCACAGCTCGTTGAGCTGGTGCGTCGCGTTGATCTTGCCGAGGAGCCTGGACGTCTTTCTACTGACAAATAAGGACGTTATGGAGGCGAGGTAAGGGAAGAAGCTCTTAGATGCGAGAATCTAATTGAAAGGGATTGCTGTTTTGCATGCGTATGGTATTTGACCCTCCTATACATTAATATCCGCCCGACTTTCTGCTGCTCCTTATCCTCCTCACCATCCCACTTATTCCCCAATCAGTGCTTGCACTGAAGGGGCCTAGCGGAAGTTGAAAGATTAGGCGAAAACTTCCCGCCGATGTTGGTAGCAAGCTGGGTTCCCGGGTTCCCGGTTCCGTTTCCGGGTTCCTGGTTATTGGTTCCAGGCCAATTTCGGTGGGTTCTGGGTTCCCGGGCTCCTGGGTTCCCGGTCGATCTCCTCAGCGAAAACCATCCACTGATTGGGTTTTTTCTCTGGTGTAATCCTTTTCGTCTTTCTCCTATCTTCCCATCTTCAACCTCCTCCTCCTCCTCTTACATCTCCATCTCCTCCTCCTCCTCCTCCTCCTCCTCCTCCTCCTCCTCCTCCTCCTCCTCCTCCTCCTCCTCCTCTCCCTTATCTGATCATCGAAGATGTTTCTATGTAGGAGGATGTTGTCTGAAGATGGGCCGAGGAACCTGCACATCTCGTGGTAGCAATTGTGGTCCTGCGGTGGCGGGGGCGACGGGGACGACTAGCGGGACGGGAGGAAACGACGACGGCGATGATGATGGGAATCTAGTGTTTGGGAAGTTGCAGTTCTGCTTGGAGCCTCCAGAAACCTCTGGTTGCCTGCGAGGACCTCCAAGGACTTCTGGATGCCTCCAAGGATTTCCGGAGACCTCCCGAGGGAAAGGGGGAGAACGACGGCCACGACGAGGTCGACTGAGGGCAACGGCGACGATGACAACAAAGCAGAAGCAGAAGCAGGAAGTCCTGGCATAGAATGGCCCGCGAGGGACACAATAATATAGACTATGCTATACGCGTGCCAACCACTGTGCGAACTCAGAAATGCGGCTCTCCTGCTCAGTCTTGTCCGTCGCTAGCCGCCGCCAGTCTCCCAGCGCTGGCACGAGGAGGACGGTGACAACGACGACGATGTCGACGACGACGAGCTGTGATCCTGCAGCCCCATCTTGGAAGCAAGCAGGCCCGTGGTTCCCTGCATCATGCTGGCCAGCAATGTGTGGCGGTCCTCCTCCTTCTGGAAGAAGGAGCGCCTCCCCTCGCCCTCGCCCCGCCCTTACCTGGTTCGGCGTCGTCGCCGTGATCGAGGGTCGAGGCTCAAGGATCGAGTTTCGAAGATCAAAGTTCTTCAGCGTTTGGGATCTGTTTTGGGCGCTCTCGTCGCCACGGCTGAATTCCCTTCAAAATTCTGGCCAGAGCGGACCCCATTCGGCCTCGCTTTCCCTCGCCCTCTCACGTACCACTCCCACCAAAATGCCAAATTGCTTGAACCACTCGTTCACTCCCTCTCTCTCTGTTTCTGTATTGTTTGTTTGTTTGTTGTTTTTTTTGTTCTCTCTCTCTCTCTCTTCCCCCTTGTTTCTGGCATTATTCCCCACTTCTCCCTCTCTCTCTCTCTTTCTCTCCCCCTCTCTCACACCCCGTGCTGATGGGATGAATTCGGTGGGCTGTGGGACCCACAAACTCTTCAAAGCGAAACACATTTCCACCTCGCCCCCTCCCTGGGTATTTCACCCCTTTTCCTGTCTCTTCCCCCTTTTTCCCTTCTCTCGTTCCCACGCCCCTCTCCTCTTCCCCCCTCCCGCTCCCAAGGACGCAGGCATGGGGGGGGAGAAGGAGGTGGACGGGAGGAGGTCTGGGGAGCGGAAGGGGCGAGGGAGATAGGGGGGCAGGAGGATAAGGATGGGGAGAGGGGATGGGGGAGAGGGAGGGAAAGAGCGAAGGGGGGGGGCCCTCCCCCCCATCCCTTTCCGTGCCCATCCCTCCTCCCCCTATCTCGTTGTCCCTGATCGCCCGCGCCATCTTCCATCCTCCCCACCCACCCTCTCTCCATGCCTCCCCGCTCCTCCCTACAACTCCACTTGCTGCTGCTCCTCCTCCTCCTTTTCCTCCTTTTCCTCCTCCTCCTCCTCCTCATCATTTTCCTCCTCCTGTAGTCATGCTGGCTCAAGGGAGCCGCAGCGTTGGAGCCCAGAGGAGCGGATCGCCACTGGACTGAGCATCGGCCGCCCGCCCGCCGGCGGCCAGTCGACCGCGGCATTCAGCGCGGCTGCCGGCAGCCGCGTCAGATGCAGCTCTCCCGA